CCCCCTCCGCTCCCTCGGCTGGGCAGGCGTTTGGGTGGTGGGCTATTTGGTGGGCAGCTGTCAGCTCCTGGCAGGGCTCCGCTTCTGGTTGTGGCAGGGCGGCTTCTTGCGGCTGAACTGCTGGGAGTTGAGACGAGCGCTGAAAAAAAGCGGTGTTTCGTGTTCGGAAGCAGTAGGGTGCATCTTTGCTGGAGTCACAGAGAAACGGGGCTGAGAGGGACCTGCGGAGGTCCAGCCCCCTGCCTGAGGCAGGATCATCCCTGTTCAAATTGTCCCGTACAAAGTGAACTCTAGGTAAGGCTGGCGCGGCACAGGTCCAGCTCCCCCACCTGCCGCAGGTAAAGGAGGGGAAGTTGGCAGCCCGTGAAGTGCAGCTCCCCCGCTCGAGACGTGCTGCAGCTCCAACAGACGTGCGCTGGGGCTGGGTGCATCGCCATTGGGCACATACTAATCGGTATGTGGCACAGTGTGCTATCACACATACCCAGCAGTGCTCTCGGGGGGTGTTGCATACAGAGAATGGCCATCCCCTGCTTTCCTGCAGCTTTCCGTACAGCAGCGGTGGCCAGTGTTTTTGCCAGGCGTGTCACAAATTAAGCCCTGCCTTCTTTCCCAACAGCTGCTCTGATCTCTGCCCCCCAAAAGCTTATTTGATAGAGTTTGTGTCCTGAGGCACCGGAATAGAAGTGTGGAGACTGGAGCCTCCCCAGCCATGTGTGGAGTGTGGGCAGGAGGTTGCTCGACCCTGCGCGCCTCCATAGCCCCCCAGCTGCTGTGTATGGCATACGCCCTAGGCTATTCCAGAGTAGCATCCTGCCCCCACTCCACACATGGAGCTCTGACACCAAATGATCGTTTGAAAGTGTCTAAGTTATGTACAAACATACAACACAGGCTGTTTGGGGAATAGGTGTTGATAAGGAGTTTGACTAAATATTGGAGTAGTGGTCAAGAATGAGAATTGACTTGGAATGTCCTGTAGTGATTTTTTTGACATCCAGGGAGATCTGCAGGTCTTGTCCCCTGCCTTTTCCTATACAATAATGGCTCCGTGAACTAGCTCTAGCTACTCAGAGCTGACTCTGGTAGGGGCTCATGTAAACCAAAAGTCTTAGGTTTAGATACTCACCCAGTTCTTTTGGAGTAGGTTTCCCAGTGGATAAGATTTTTATTTTTTTTTTAATGTTCACTTTTGATTTCTGGAGACTTAATTCTAAATCATATCAGATATAGGTAAACTATTTGCAAGAATCCTTAAGAAAATCCTAAATTCTTTGTCCAGTCGTTCTGTTGATGGTTTAAAAAGTCTTTGATACGTGTCCTTTGGGGAAGCGGAGCTTATCAAATACCATCTTTGCCCTAGTAGTTTTTCAAATAGAGCTTTTTAAATTTAAGTTTTTGCTCCAATTTTTAATCTCTGTAAGACTCTCTTACGGTTCCTGATTAAAAACAAATGTGGGACTGCAAAGGAATGAGTTTACACCTCCTGTTTATAGGTGTTAACTGTGTATATGCGCTTGGTAAACATGTTTCAGATGAGGGTTAGCTCACCGGTGAGAGAAAATCAAGGTGATTCTGATAAGATGAGTAAATCATTCCTTGGTATGTACATCTGACCATTTTGGTGGGGGTTTGCTAACCACCACTTGTTACTTGAATTCACAGTTGGGTTTTTGTGAGTCTTCTACCTGTACCGGATGATCACACAGCAGCATTGTAAAGACGGGTTTTTTAATCTCTATTCAAAATAAAATTTTAAAAAACCCAGCCAGTTGGTGAAGTCATAAAAAGATTGTTCCAAATATTGCCCAACTTTAGTGACTTCAGTTTCTATAAGGTAAAGTCTGATGTGTAAAATAAATGTTTGGTCAAGAAACCCCACTATGCCCTAAGGAAAAGCTTTTGTTTTGTTGTCTTCATGTTTTGGGAATCAGAAATAATTCAGAAATAGAGGTCGATCAGTAACGTCTAATGCTTCCATTCCCAGATAATAGTAACACTAACACTAATCCCATATTAGTTTAGTAATGCCACCTAAAATAGTTCCATTGGCCTTTAATTCTAGTCTTCTGTATCTGAACAATATTTTGATAGAAACAATGAGGTGCAAGGTATGAGAAGTGATGGAGGAAATCTAATTCTTAAGTAGAAAGGCTTAGTGCAACCATAGGGTTATAGAAATATTGTACACAGTACAGGCTTCTCTTTATGTTAACAATTTGAGTTACTGCAGTTGTATAGTAAGGTGTTCTGGGATCTTTGCATCTTCATAAATGTTTTGATCTACTTTCTCTAAAATCTCAAAACCAACTCCTGTTGTATTGATGCATTAACTTTTGGGGCGATAATTATAATAAAAAAAAATGTTCTTTGTGAATGCTAGTTTGACCTGGTGGCTCTGACTTGCACTGGTGTTTGTGGATGAGAATTATTCTGAGATTGCATTTATTTTTTATGTTTGAGAAGGGGGGAAACTGATTTTTCTATCCTTTCTGACTGTTTTTTGCTCCTATTCTGGTATGTGTTCCTGGCTGATTTAAGTGGGCATGCAGAAGACAGGGCAGAATGGCACCCTATAAACTAGCACCTTATAAATTATTTTTTTCAGAAAGGCATGAGCTTTAGTAGGCTACCAGATTCTCCTGAAGGGGTCTGTTGTTTTCCCTTAACTAGGAGATCTTACTAAACCAGAAGTACAACAAGTATGGACACTTGAAATGTGGGTAAGAGTGCCAAGTGAGCGTTGTGCAAAGAAAATCTTCAGGAGTAGAGATTAATTAAAAATAGTTTCTTAAATTTCCTTTTTAGTGGCCTAAGATGCAGATTTCTGTTTCTAGAAAGGAACTGTTGTGAAGAGGAAGTTTTGGAAGATTTCAGTGAGCAGTGGGAAGGAGTTTTGAAGGGAATCTTGTTCTTCAGCATGAGAATTGTTGCATCTTGTTTCTCTAGTTACCAAAAGACTAATACTGGCTGACTAAGATATTTGCAGTGGACTAATGCAATAGATATGGAGCAAAACACCAAGTAGGAAAACTTGTTGAAAATAATCTTGTTGAGTAACTCTTGCCTCCTGCTTCTTTGCTTGGGTTACTGCATACCTGGGTGGTTGGGGTGGCACAGGAGCGAAGGCACATGGTTGACAGCCCAGAGGTTGCAAAGTCAAGGCCATATGTGACCTGTCAGATTTCAACAAATCTGCAAATTCTGCTAAATACCTTGTTACAAGGATGTGAAAAAGGAAGGACTGTATTCCTTGTATGTAACTGTAATCAGAATGGTGTTTTGTGCTAGATTTCAAGAAACTGCCTATTGAATCAATGTCTTTCCTGTGTAAACTTGGTGTTGGCTGAAGTATTCATATAATGAAGCAATTTCAGGGTTTTTAGTTTGTTTATCCTTCTTTTTAAAATAAAAGTAAAGTTCATATTTTTTTCATATTAAAGGAAAACATGAAGGAAATGTTCCCTCTTAATCAGAACACAGAATTCTGCACAGATGCTCTGTGGATTGGTTGCGTATTGGTTGATTTTTGTATCCTAAACTTAAAACATGGTAAAGCAGCATCTTGGTTAGTTGTTTTTAGACTAAAACTAGTAGTATTTCTCCTCAGCTAATGACAGCTCAGCAACTTTGCATATGGATCTCTGAGATGTTCATTTTCATCCTGTAAGCTGAACTTGCCATTCCTCTTTGGGGCCAACAGACTTTGTTCCCCTGATACTGGTCTCTGCTCACTTCCCTGTACATTGCATAGCTCTTTTTCCTAAACTCTGGCTCCTCTCACAAAGTGGTAGAAGCCACTTATCCACCACTTGTTCCTGGAGATATATCTGGTCATAATAATAATAATAATAATTTGCCCTATTCTCCTAATTTGTTTAATGAATAGCAGAATTTAAGTTCCAGATGACCTGCTCAGGAAGTATTTATAGTACTAGGCCATCGTATTAAGGTATCCAACAGAAATGGTAACTGTCTCTCTTTTCCCTGACCTAAGCTTTGCATTTGGAAAAGCAAATTAAATAATCAGATATCATCACTGTTAGGCAAGTACATAAACATAATGTATTTTCTTCTATTCACTGAGCAAGCCTTGATGATTATATTCCCTTTTTGCCTACCTACAGCATCCCACCTACAGCTCTTTATTAACATTTATAGAATACGATGTTCTTGGTTATCTCTCGAAGTAGGTATGCTTGAGACTGTAGTGTGTACATATTGACCAAGAGTTCTG